CAGTCAGGAAGCGAAATGAAAGCCATAATGGAAACAAACAAAACCTCTCGCATCCATTAGGATAACTAGTATATAAACAAGCAAACAGAACCCAGAAATAATAATAAGCATTGGCCAGAATGGGGAGAATTTGAAATGCTGTTGGTAGGGAAATGAAATGGCACTGTCACTGTGGAAAACAGCATAGTGATTCTCCAAAGAAATAAAACAAAGACTGAGCTTTGTAGCTCACACCCGCAATCCCAGCACTTGGGAGGCTGAGGCAGGAAGAGCATACAAAAACAAGACACAAATAATAGCAATATTTTTTAACATTTAAAAACCTTTCAAATGACAGTCACAATCACATTGGCAGGATGGGTAATGGGTATGACTCAGAGAGGGGGTGTATTTGGGTGGTGTTGGAATATATGTGAAAGCTAAGTCTTCATCTTCACAGTGAGAAGTGAAAAGATAGTGCCTAAAGCTGAAGATCAAGAAACAGAGAGAGAGACAGAGACAGAGACAGAGAGAGAAGGAGAGAGAGGTGAGTTATTTAATGATGTGGCAGAGCAGACCAGAGGATTCAGCTAGGAGGAGAAAACAGTAGCCTCTAGGGAGAAGGAAATGGAGTGAATAACTTAATTTTTTGTTTTTTTTACAAAACCTTGCAAACAATTTGGATCTCTAAACTAGGTGCAACTTTAAGAATAGAAAGTAAAAAGTAACCTAAATCAAAAGCAAACTGAAAACTGCTGACCTGCTCTAGAAGGTTATATGACCAGGATGTGGGCACCCAGGGCCTGGGTCACCTTCATATCACCTTGAGGAACAGTAGCCATCATGGCTAGTATAGTCATGACTACTGCACTCCATCCCTCTCCCCAAGACAAATAGGGGCTCTCAGAGCATCTCTTTGAGAGAGAAGACACATTTGCATGGATACAGGCCCATTGTTTGCTAGCATAGCCACACATTCATGTGCATTGGAAAGTGCAATTAGCATATCAAACCTGTGATTTCATGGAGATTATGGCTTCCGATGAAGCTGAGTTTATTAAGTGAAAGGATTTAAGGAAAATCAAGTTGGCTCTTTATTTCCATGGGTTCCACATCCCTAGATTCAACCAACCATGGATAGAAAAATATGAGAAAAAAAATTGCTTCTGTATTGAACATGTACAAACTTTTTTTTCTTGTCCTTAGTCCTAAACAACACAATACAGAAACAATATACATAGCATGTACATTGTATTAGGTTTTCTAAGTAGTCTAGAAATTACTATTCAGGAGAGTATGCCCAAATTATGTGCAAATACTAAGCCATTTTACAGATGGGACTAGAACATCCAGAGTTTTCTTTTTATATTTCTCTCTCTCTCTCTCTCTTTTCTTTTTTCCAGTCCTAGGGCTTGAACTCAGGGCCTGGGCACTGTCCCTGAGCTTCATTTGCTCAAGGCCAGCACTCTACCACTGGAGCCACAGCACCACTTCTGGCTTTTTCTTTTTATGTGGTACTGAGGCATCAAACCTAGGGCTTCATGCATGCTACACAAGCACTCCACCACTAGGCCACATTCCTAGCCCCTCTTTGTTTTTTTTTTTTTTTTATTCCTGGGGCTTGAACTCAGGGCTTGGATGCTATCCCTAAGCTTTTTCCATTCATGGCTGGCACTCTACCACTTGAGCAACAGCTCTACTTCCAGCTTTCTGCTGGTTACTTGCAGATAAGAGACTCACATACTTTTCTGCCTGTCCTAGTTTTGAACCCAGTCCTCAGATCTGCTATAGCATAGCTCCTGCATAGCTAGGATAACAGGTATGAGCCATCAGCGCCTGGCTTTTCTTTTGAGATAAGGTCTCCCTATGCAGTTCAAGCTCCTCCCTAGAGGGGGAGACATGAATGGAGACTCTAAGGATGAACAAAGGCAGCTCTACAATAGTGATATAGGCAGAGGGTGAAATCTGACAAAGTCCTGCAACTTATTTCTTAGAGGTAGAGTAAGGAACAGGGCTGCTGAACCTCTGGTGATTCTGAGGCTGGACATGGAGGTGTGACAAGGGCAGGAGCCATGCTGACAGCAGCTGGAGGGTCACCTATGTCTATGTCTGGAGAACTCAGTGCACTGGGGTTTGGGAATTTTTCTCTTGAAACATATAAGCAAGTAGGGCCCATATGTTTAACTCAGCCTATGCCTCAAGATAGAGGTTGGCTCAGGACAGGGACTTGTCTGGGTGGCAAAGCCATTCTAGGCCCTTTTGTCCTGGGCTTTCTCCCTCTCCCTTTCACAGGACTTAACCAGTTTAGGTGCCTGGATAAGTCCCAGTTCATTGTTTGGGTCCAATGCTGGCTCTATCATGTCATGGCTGTGTGACCTCTCTGTCATTTACCAACTTATAAAAACAGTATGAACAAAAACCTTGCTGCCTAGAGAGGTAGGAATCGAATGGGCACAAGAAACTGAGGTACTCGGAACAGTGCCTGACTCCCATTTTAGTATACAATAAATATTAGCTATCGTTATTATTTGAAGTGGTCTTTTTAACCTTTTCCCTCACTCAAATATCATCTAATACTTGTTATATACCAAGCTTTATATTTATCCTCTGAAAACACCCTCCTCCTAGACAAAGACAGAGACAAATCCTGCTCTCTGGGATAGTTATCCAGGGTGATCCAGGCTGTGACAAATGGAAGCCAGAGACTGTGGGGACCCAGGGAAGAGTTCTAGCCTAGATGGAAGTAAGGGAAGACAGGAGACCCTCTGTTGAGGGGGCTGTGGAGGGACAGAGTAGCCTATTCTGGCAATTTGACATGAGGGTAGATCATGTAAGCAAAGGCTTCCTGGTGTTGGGAAGCCATCCTGCATTTTTGAACTGGGAATTATGTTTGGATCATAGTAACAATATAAGATTTATTGTGCTCTGAATGTATTTTTGGATGCTACTCATATACAATTTCATCTAATAGAGCCCTCAGAGCAGTCCTGTGTGACACTGGGTTAGTCAGTGTCAGTGCTCTTAATCCATTTGCTGCCTCTGAACTTCTCCATGCCCAAGTCTTAGAGCTGAAGTGAAACTTTGAGACTATTGTTTCTTCTATTTTACAGATGGGGTAACTGAGGTCAGAGGGGGACTTTCCTAAGACTGCAGAGTGGGGGAGGGGCAGAGGACTGATTCAATCCCTGGCTGCAGGAGGGTTCCATCCCAGTTCCATCCACAGTCCAGGCCTGCTTTGATCACCATGCCACAGTGGACATCATGCGGCCTGCAAAGCCCTCCAGTACTGCGTACCCAATCACCAGACTCTAGCCCACTGTCAAGTTCCTATCTTGCATTCTCTCTACCAAAATTACACCTAGTCTTCATGTGATCAGGTTCCTTCTTGCCAGTCAGTGAAATGTCACACTTTCTCTAAAAGTTACCCCATCTTCTCATACCCCAACTTATTTTTACCAGAGCAATTATAATACTCTGAAATCTGCCCCTCTCTCTCTCTTTTGCTTGCTTGCTTTTGTGTTCCTCCCAACTAAGACACAATCTCTAGGAAGGCTGAGAGGGAAGTTATCTATTTCTGTGAGGTATCATTGAGGCCTGAACTGCGTTGGACATACAAGAGGTACTCCATAAGTCTTTGTGACCATGTCATTGTTAATGATCTATCACTACTAGCCAGCGATCTCTCTGGGGCTGCACCCCAAGGATGAGATCAGAGGCTGGATACTCCTGTTGAGTGACTGGACACCCAAGGGATCATGAAAGGACTACTCAGGGTCTCTTGATTAGGTTAAATGTCTTTCCCTGTGGAGGTGCTACAGTCATGGCCACCGGCTGTCCTTTGAAGAGAGTCATGGGACTCTGGAATCTGCTGAGATTGGGTGGTTTCCAGGCCTAGGGTTCATAGTTCCTAGCCTTCCATGGTGGAGAAAGGGAAATGGAGGGAGGGGTAACCTAACGATGGGCTTGCACCTGCAAGCTGGTCCTGGTTGGTGGTCAATGCCCTCAAACCTCCTTCTGTAAAGAAGGTTGTACCATCAGTGCAGGCTCATGAGCAGGTGGCTGAAGGGTAGTCACATGCTCTGCTCTCCACAGCCCACACCATGAAGTGGGCGAGTGGGGCTGCTGTCCTCCACAGGCGGTCCCTTTGTTCCAGGGCTAGTGGAGCAAACCGAGGTTGTGGCCCCTTGCAGCTGAGATCCCTGTGGGGGACCCTCCTGGCCTTTTCTCCATCACAGTAGGCATCACCTTGTCATCCCTGTGGGCCCCTGATTGTTCCTCTGCCTTGGGCCATGGGGGAAAGACTAAATGTGAATGAACAACAGTGTTCACTGGACCCATGCCACCTGCCTCACACCCTTGCCCGCGATCGTGGGTGTAACACACAGACGCACATGGGCACTGAGAGCAGCTAGGACAGGCGCAGAGGTCCTGCCCCAAACCCCAGCTACCCGGCATCAGAATAGCTCAGGGTCCCATCCCCTAGCCCTGTGCTGCTCACCCGCACCGCACACCGCACAGGCCTGCGGCTGGCATTTCTTTTGGTGCGTCCCCCACCTCCCCCTTCAGATCAGCTTGTCGCCTCCTCCTCGAGGCCAAGGCCGCTTTCCTCGGACCTGCTTCTTTCAGGGCCAAGAGGCCTGGCCTGGCTCACCCCTCGTCTGCAGCGCCCCGCTCTCCAGCGGGCGGTGAGTGGGACCGGCGAGCGACAGCGGAGGGCGGGGGAGCAGAGGAGGCGAAGGCGGCGACGGCGGGCGGAGCGCAGGGCGGAGGCTGCGGCGGGAGGGAGCGCGCGCGCCGGCGGCGGCAGCCCAGGGCCGGGGCCGCGCGCCCAGCCTGAGCCCGCCCCGCCGCCGAGCGTCACCGAACCTGCTTGAAATGCAGCCGAGGAGCCGGGGCGGGCGGCAGCGGTGGCGGCGGCGGCGGCGGGGGCAGCGGCAGCCCCGGCGCCGCGGCGAGGACTCAGCGGGCTGAGGTTCGGCAGCGGTGCAGGGGGCGCGGGGCGCGGCGGCCGGTGCCCCGGGCCCGCCATGGGCCGCCCGGCACGGGGCGCGCTCCGGCCGCTGGTGATGCTGCTGTTCCTCCAGCATCTCGCGGCGGCGGCGGCGGCGGATCCGCTGCCTGACGGCCAAGGTGCGTTCTGCGAGTCCGGGGCCCGGCTCTGCGCCGCCAACAAAGCGCGGCCTGGAGGTCGGGGCGGGGGGCGGGGGGTGGATGGGTCGGCGCGAGGTTCCCCGGAGGAAGGCGCTTTACTGGCCCGGGCTGCGCCTGGATTTGCCCTGGCTCCTCCGCCCGCGGCTCCTCGTGCGGAGAGCTTTGCCCTGCGGGCACCGGGCTCTGGGAGGATGGGCGCGGGGCGGGGGGAGCGCCGGGCGGCGGTGAACTTTGCGGGAAGGTGGCGGTGGCGGTGGTCATTCGCGGTCTCGCAGCCTGGGGGGCTGACGAGCGCGCTCGGCCGCGCCGACCAGCGCAGCCTCGCCGCCTCCCCTCCTGACAATGCGTTTCCGAGGACCCCGGCGAGGGGCGGGGAGATGGCTGATGGAGGGGAGGGGGCGAGCCTGGGCGCCCGGCGCGCGTGTCGCGCGTGGATCGGGGCTCCCCGCGAGCGGGGTCCGCGCGGATCTCTGACTGCGGGCCATGTGTGCGGCCGAAGTGTGTCTGACGGGAGGTGTATCCAAGTCGTGTGTCACCCACTCTTAAATACGAGCTTTTCTTGCCCTGCCACCGAGAGGCCGGACACCCGAGAAACCCAGAGCCCCCACCCCTCCTCCTGGGTCAAAGGTGTCCGAAGCGCAACCTGCCCCCTCCTCCCCTCCCCACCCCGATCTCCAGTATCGTCCCTTTTCCTTCGCCACAGCGTATCCCTGGCGTCCGGGGCTGCGTGGTGGAGAGCGGGACTCGAACCTGCTGACCCACCTCACGACCCCTCCCCCCTGCCTCCGACTCCCACAGGACCGGCCAAGGAGTGCGAAGTGGATCAGTTCCGGTGTCGGAACGGGCGCTGCATCCCCTCGGTGTGGAGATGCGACGAGGACGACGACTGTTCGGACAACAGTGACGAGGACGACTGCCGTGAGTGCCCAGCCCCGGGCGCGCAGACTCGGGTGGCCGGCACAGTGCGGGGGGGCGAGGGGAGCGCCGCGCTTCGATTCCACTTGGCTGCCGCTTCCACGGGGCCACCTGCTCAAGGCCGCCCCTCTTTTCCTCGGGCGGGGTGGCTCTTAGCTACCGGCGGGGCGCCGAGCTGCAGGCGTGTCCTAGTGGAGCCTGGGGTGGAGCCCAGGGCGAGGTGCCCCGGGGCGCGCTGGGCTCCGGGGCGCAGGAACTGTGGTCGGGGACGCAGCCGTCCCTGCAAGCGTCCACCCACCGGCGACCCGGTAGCCTGCGCCCCCACCGGCCGTGCGCGTGTCTCAAAGTTCCACGCCGCTCAGGGCCGAGCCGCGCTCCTTTCCCTGCTCGGGTTTTTGTGAATGAATGGGCTCTCCGGGTCCCCTGATTGGCTGGGCAGGGACCACCCCACAGGCCTCCGTGGCCGGAGCCACCAATCGTGGAGCGGGCGGGTGTGTAGTATTCCCGCAGCCCTGGCTGTGGGGCTGTGGGGGCCCCGCCCAGGCCGCTTCGCCCGCGTGCGTCCTCGGGTTGGAAGGTGCAGGCTAGGCGCCGCCTCCCGCTGCTTTTCTGTCTAGTCACCGTGAAGACCTTTTTAAAACCATCCTCCGACCGGTCTCCCGCGCCAGCCCCGCCTCGGGGTGTGTCACGGGCCACCCGGAAGGGGGGGACCATAAGGAAGGGTTTGTTTCCTGGAAGGGGTTATAGGAACCCGAGGCGGAGCGTGAACCCTCTGCTGCTGCTGCCTTTGCTCAACGTGCTGTTTGCACAACTGAATTTAATTTCCTTCTCCTGTGAGCCGGGTTGCAGGGATCTGTGGGTGCTGAAGGCGTGAGCAGGCAGGACCCACAAGGAAGGAAGGAAGGTAATTCCAAGAACAGAAAAACGTGTCTCTTCCAGAAACACAAACCCAGGCAGTTACTCGGTTATCATTACCCAGGCCAGCAGTGTGCTAACACCGGGCACGCGGGATCAGCCCACCAGCTTGGGAGCCCTGGGGCAAGGAAGGAGAGCATTCAGGGCAGAGGCACACGCACTCACCCTGCACAGGAAGGGAGTAGCGCCACATTGCCGCAGCACACTGTCAGTTGGGTACCTGAGTTCTTTTGATTTTTTTTTTGACCAGTCAGCCTTACGTTTCACTCTGACCTAGCCTAGAGTGGGCCCTGTGACTTGACCACATTGTTTCCACGTGCCTCAGTTTCCCCACTCACCTGGCCACTTGGGCTGATCATTGGTGCCTAGTGGCCTTTCAGGACTGTGTTGAGGAATAATTCTAGAAGTGTCATTGGAAGTAATGAGACACGTGCTGCCCACTAACTACAGAACACTGGGCTAATGGTTACCTTATACAAACTCCTCTGCTCTTCTTTCTTGTACAGACCAAACACTGATACACCCAGGCTTCAGTTACTAGAGCTATGTGACTGAACTGCTAAGTAGGAGCCTGAACTTGAGCATCTGCTCCCAGAGTCCTTAGCTAATCACAATCCTGACCATGTCCTAGTTCTTCTGAAGTTATGAAAATGGCTATGGTTGGGTCAAATGCCTGGGAATTATTGTAGTGTCCTTAGAGGATGGTGTTGAGGTAGGGGTGGGCAAACAGAAACAGTTCCTGGACTGACTGCACTTTATCCCCTTGCCTGATTTTTTTGTTGTGTTTTATGGTGCTGGGTTGGGATTGAACCTGGGTGCTTGCACAGGCCAGGCAACCACTTGATTGCTGAGCTGAATCCCTACCTCCTCCTTGGCTCTTTATAACAGCAGTCTGAGAAAGTGGCTGTAAATTCAGACAGGAAGCTTTTCTTGTCATTCTGCTTTATAGATAAGGACACCGGCTTAATTTGATTTGCCTAAGAGGACACAGATTTACAGAGGTTGGTCAAGATCTCTGCCTGCATCCTAGCTTGGGCACTGACTGCTGTGGTGTGATATGGAAGGATCTAGAAGCTGGAAAGCTATATGTTAAGTGTTAGGCCTGTTGCTTTTCATCTTAGTGTGTGTGGCTCTAGGCAAGATATTGTAGTAACAGAGTGGCTTTGGATAGCCCCGGGTGGAATGGAAAGAGTGACCAATGTGAGGGTGGGGTAGAGTCATGGATAGGCATAGTTAGTGCCTATGTCATTAGCTATCAGTGGAAAGGGCTTGGCTTAGACAAGGTGATGGCAATACCTTGTCAATCAGAAAAGTCATACTAGCCTATTTCCTTATCTGCTACACAGGATAGTGGTCCAACCAACCTATGCTATATTGTAGATGAAGGCTTCTCCCAGGAAAGGTGAAGAAGAGAGGAGGAAGGAGGGTCCTCACTGCTAAGGCATTTATTTATTTATTTTTGTCCTAGAGGTTGAACTCAGACTGCTGTTGCTTGGCCTTTTCGATCACTGCGGGTGCTCTACCACTTTTGTTGAGTCACATTCATTAGTTAATTGAAGATGAGTGTCTTGAGAATTTGTCTGCCCGGGCTGGCTTTGTACCTCAATCCTCAGATCTTAGACTTCTGAGTAGCTAGGATTATAGGCGTCAACCACCATCACTTGACCCACTAAGGTCTTAATAAACCTCCTTTGCCACTAAGGCCCCCCATTCAGAGTCACCTGTCCAGATTGAGCATCACTGTTCTGTCTTCCAGGCTGCTGGCTCCTCCCTGAGCACCCTGACCTACCATTGCCACCTTCCTTGGTGCATGCTCTCTCCACTAGAGGGCCTGACCTCTCTACCTCTGGGCTACAAGTTGGGGGATGGAATTTGTAAGTAAAGTCCCTGTGAGGCAAAATGAGTTCAGGCTCCTGATGGGGCCAGAGCACAGTCCCTGAGTAATCAGAAGGCTGATGTCCTGGCAGGCTTTTTGTGTTAAGGAAGCCAAGAAAGACTTCCTGGAGGACGGAGCAGCTGAGCTAGCCCCCTGAAAACTGATAGCTAGTACCAGCTTTAAGTACCTCAGTACTTACCATTTAAAAATAGATGGCCATCTCTCTACAGTATAGAGGACAACTGAGGCTGGAAAAGTGATATGACTCTCCCATGGGTTAGATCTGGAACTCTTAACTGAGGTCTTCTAAGTCTTGATCCTTAGCTACATTGTGGATCCTTTGGAGACAGAGCTAGCAGGATGAGGAACGGAAGAGCTCTTGGGGCTTCAGTTTCCAGATCAGAGGACCTTCAAAGTGGAGGAAAGGGCTGGAAGCCAGAGGGCCAGGCCTAAGAAAGGGAAGTCTGGTGGGATTCTTGGCTGCCTGTGGACCTAGGGCACGTAGACCTGCTGGCCACTAGGTCTTGTTTTCCTGTTGCTCCTGGTGTGTGTGTGGGGATAGAAGTGGGATTCTGGTCTCTGGCCAGGCTTTTACTCCTGGAGTGATAACCATACACTGGATAGCACTGAGCATTTGCTACAGGCCAGGCACATTGCCAAGGTCTCACACTTAGCTCCCAGGGCTCCTCTAGTTTGTCAAATGGGACAACTCAGTGAGAACCTTAATCATCATCCCCAGCTTACGAAGGCTTAGAACACAAAGGAACTGTGAAACACACAACCATAGAACCTATGCCTTCTTATGTGCCCAATCTTTGGTTATATATGTGGGGAATCTTGTCATAGGTCTGGTGAGGGGCAGAGACCTTCTTTCCTTCCTACCTACACACTGGCTACATTCATTTTGTCATCTTAGAAGATCTGGTACAGGTGTTACTTCCTCTAGGAAGCCTTCCCTGTCACACCCTCCTCCCAAGCTGAGATACAGGATTTGAAATAAGAGACGTAAGGACCAAGGTTGAAATCTCAATTTGGTATAGCCTTGGATTGGACATACCTGGTTTTCCCCCCAGTTGTCACTGCCTGACCTAATAGCATGGGGTGGCAATAGTCCTTTCTTAGAGATGTGAGGACTAAGTGAGAGCCTATGCTTGGTGAACAGGAGGCAATAGGGAGGAGTCTTGGTTTCACTGAGCATCCTGGGCACCTGGCTGTAAAGGCTGTTTCCCCTACTCTTCCCAAGTTACATTGGAGCCATGCTTCCCCCACTACTTACACATGATTCTCAAGGCTCCTTCAGGAGCTGCTGGTCTTAGCCAAAGGGTTGGCAAGTTTCTGTGGAGTGGTCCCAAGTCACTCAGCCTCAGCAGGGCCTGATAGTGGCAAATAGCAGTCTGAGGAAGAACTAGGGAAGAAACAAGTCCAATAGAACTGGTTGGTCTCAATGATCAACTTAGTAGCCTGGGGCCCTAGAAGGAACAGGAACTCTTTACCCTCCTGTTTCTTTCCTCCTGACTGTACCAGAAGCCACTGTGGGTGTGCCAGAGGGCGTCAAGCTTCCCTTGATTCGAAGCCCAGGCCTGTGCCCATGGGTTGGTCCCACACGGCCATGGGAGTGTTTGCCAAACATCTTCCATTAGCCTTCCAGGGCCCTGCTGAGTCTGAGTCCCCTCTGGGAGCTCCTAGTTTCTGAGGCCTGCTAGGAGTCAGAGCTACAACTGGGCCAGAGCTGCTGGGATTCTTTCTGCCCAGCTACCTGCAGGCAGCTGAGTTGACAGCTTTGCTTCTTGGGGAAATGCTGTCATCAGGTGAAGCCAGGGAGGGACCTCCATGGGGAGGGAGAGGAGAAGAATAAGAACCTCTATGACTTGATGGAGCAGGTGTCCCTCTGGGTGAAACCTAGCAGATACTCTCCTAGTCCTGGGGAGGAGCATGGACATGCCTCCGGGTCCACAGTGTTCCAGAAAGGCCGCCCTGGAGCTGTGGGAGGGCATGAGGTATAGAGTCAGTCTGGAGGCCCCAGCTCTAAGAGGCTGATGACACCTCCCCACACATCCAGGCCATCCAGTCTCTGAAGGCCTGACAGATGCCCTTCCTGACCCTGTCCTCCAGTCCTTGAGCTACACTCTATCTCAATCTCAGATCCTTCACCTGTCAGCCTTGTGTTGGACACAGAGGAACCTTGTCTCCCTCTACAGATTTACTAGCAATA